ACAAATGGATAATAATAGCCGTGCGTAACCCCTGTGGGTTTGTTTTAAAACTATCCAGGAATTTGAAAGCCAATATTTATTTTATGTTTCGCGCGTAGTAGCTGAAATCCCTTCGTTTAGTGTTAAATTAAATAGGAGAGATCACGGCCTGCCCGGATGTTTTGATATTTTTGTATTTATTGATGGTACGTACACATATTATATTGTATAAAATAACATGTATTCAATTGGTCTTGGCGTAGAATTCGTACAATTCCACATTTCAGAAATTTGTTCGTTCTTTTTCTGTTTCTGTCTCTCCTTCTCTATCTCTTCTCTGTTTCTTTTCTCTCCCTTTTTTCACACATTGCGGATTTCTAGAACATTTTGTAATGTCAGAAGTTCCTTCGTACATCAGTTGATTTTTCTCTACCTCTACAAATATTCACTTCATCACTCTCACTCTGTATATCTATCTACTTCGCCCAAAATGCCGTTTTGTCTTATACACTTTTTTATAATTCATTCTTTCTAAATCTATATAATTCTACAATAATTTACCTAATGTTATAAAATAGAGGCAAAACATATTCATAGCTTTCCTCCCCTACATTTTGTTAAACCGCACTGTGTATAACATAAATAATATTTAAAAATATATGAGGCAATAAAAAAATTATATGTTTTGTATTTTCCAGAATGTAAACTATAATTGTACGAACGGGTGCTCGTTAAATGTAAGAAAGGTCTATGAGATAATTTTACGAGGTTTTATTAAAAAAAATGTGCAATTCAATTCTTTTCTCTCTCACTTTCTTTTCAATATGTCTATCTGTCTGTGTGTGAGGTCTCTCTCTCTCTCTCTCTTTGTATTATTTTTGTACATTTCCTCTTTTACTATCTGTCCGTTGTATAGTATTCTTTTACTACTACATATTATTATTTTCAATTAGTTTGCCTACACATTTCACTATCTAACATACTATTAACCTAACTCTCCTCTACTTTCACTCTCTCTCTCTCTCTCACTCTCTCTCACTCACATTCACTCTCACTCTCACTCTCTCTCACTCTCACTCTCACTCTCACTCACACTCTCTCTCTCTCTCTCTCTCTCTCTCTCTCTCTCTCTCTCTCTCTCTCTCTGTATTATTTTTGTACATTTCCTCTTTTACTATCTGTCCGTTGTATAGTATACTTTTACTACTACATATTATTATTTTCAATTAGTTTGCCTACATATTTCACTATCTAACATACTATTAACCTAACTCTCCTCTACTTTCTCTTTCTCTCTCTCTCTCTCTCTCTCTCACTCTCACATTCACTCTCACTCTCTCTCTCTCTCTCTCTCTCTCTCTCTCTCTCTCTCTCTCTCTCTCTCTCTCTCTCTCTCTCTCTTTGTATTATTTTTGTACATTTCCTCTTTTACTATCTGTCTGTTGTATAGTATACTTTTACTACTACATATTGTTATTTTCAATTAGTTTGCCTACATATTTCACTATCTAACATACTATTAATCTAACTCTCCTCTACTTGCTCTTTCTCTTTCTCTCTCTCTCTCTCTCTCTCTCTCTCTCACTCTCTCTCTCACTCTCACATTCACTCTCACTCACTCTCTCTCACTCTCTCTCTCTCTCTCTCTCTCTCTCTCTCTCTCTCTCCTTTTCTTATTCTTTCATTCTCTTCATCGAACAATTGCAGAGTTCTACTAGTTTGTTTGTACTTTAATGTTTTTGTTTAATGTACTCTACCTTTTTCTCTATTTGGTAGATCTACAACTATATGTTTTCCTCTTTACATGTTTTTATATTTTTAATTGGACACATTACAATGTAGCCAAGAAATGGAAAAAAGTGTAAAAACCTCCTGGTGACTAGCACCCACCAGAAAGAAAATCGATTAACTCTCATACACGCAAATGAAAATGCTGTCTATTCCAAAATGGAAAATATCAGCGAAACTAGACGGACCAGCAGCCAACCTCTGAATAATCTTTTAGAAATGTCGATTTCGCAAAGTTTGATATTTTTTTAAAAACGTTACTGCTGATCATTGGACATTTTAAATCATTCCATCAGTGTTAAATTGGGTCATCGTAATTCTCAGTTTATGAATTTTTTGCCATATTAACACCGTCTATAATGTTTTGTGGTCAAATTCATTCATGAAATTTTATTTTTGGGTCTAATTTTTTGGACGTACACTTTGGGGGGTTTCTGCTTCTTTCACGCTCTCGCGAGATCCCGTATCCTAAGACTTAATTATAGGATTGCGTTTTTTTCTTTTTTTCAAACTTGGCAGGAATGCCACGGCACGGGAATGAATCACATTTTGTCAGAGTCAAGGCTGAGCCGGTGGCCCGGTGACGCAATCACCCGCGAGGAAGCAACTCTTGTGATTCGCACGCGGTGAAGAAATAAATTTTTTGGCTACCAATCCGCCAAATGGAGACTCGCGGACACCGGGCAAACGATTTTTTCATCTCGTACAACACTTTAATCCCTGAACAAACCCGTCGGTTTACGAAATGAATCAGCTTCACACTCGAGCGATGAGCACTTTTCGTATTTATCTTCGAGATGATGCCTGTACAATTTTTTTTTGTTTATGATTACCTTTCTTTTTATAGAGCTTACAATCTTATTTAAATTGGTTTAATTTTAGAAGTGATGACCGTTTGAGTTTATTTATATATACATATAAATTGTCCGGTTATTATTAAATATCGCAATGGACAATTCACTTTTTCAAAGCAAAATCTGATTGGTATAAGTTGAACGTTTTATATTGTATAATTGTTGTATTTTCTTGTATTTTTTTACTTAAGTAATAATGTCTGAATTTTCTTGCATTAATCTGCCAAATTATTCATATGGTCCGCATAGTTTCGCTGTTCAATATGAAACACCTCTTCGTCTTTTAACTCAGCGAACTCTTTTTTTGTATACAAAATTCAGTATAGTTTGTAGGATGAAATTTTACATTAGAAATAAACTGATACTTCTAGTTTTCTATGAATGTGTCAAGTTTCGCTGCTTTTTATCATTCACCTAACTCTCCTCTACTTTCTCCCTCACTCCCTCCCTCCCTCTCTCCCTCCCTCTCTCTCTCTCTCTCTCTCTCTCTCTCTCTCTCTGTGTGTGTCTCTCTGTCTGTCTCTCTCTCTGTCTCTCTCTCTCTCTCTCTCTCTCTCTCTCTCTCTCTCTTTCTCTCTCTCTCCCTCTCTCTCTCTGTCTGTCTGTCTGTCTGCCTATCTATCTATCTATCTATCCATCTATTTATCTGTTTTTCTCTCCTTTTATCTCTCTTTCTCTCTCACTCTCTACCTTTTTTTCTCTCTCTATCTATATCTATCTATCTATCTATCTATCTATCTATCCATCTATCTATCTTTCTCTCCTTTTATCTCTCTTTCTCTCTGACTCTCTCTCTCTCTCTCTCTCTCTCTCTCTCTCTCTCTCTCTCTCTATCTATCTATCTATCTATCTATCTTTATCTATCTATCCATCTATGTATCTTATAACCCTGAAACCACTGAAGATGAATACGAGGATAGATCCAAAATGATCGACTAAGCTAACTAGTGATTTTTTGGCTTACAATTTTTTTTTTAATTTTTATTTCTAAGGGCGATAAATCGTCGTAAATATTTTTAAGGGCTTTCTGTAAAAGTTTTTTTGTCTGGTGATGATTACATTAATTTTCAACACTTATTCAAGTGCAATTTTATAGTCATTCATAACTATCTCTTTCCTCTCTCACTCTCACTTTCTCACACTCTCTCTCTCTCTATATATATATCTATCTATCTCTATCTATTTATTCATCTATCCATCCAACCATCTATCCGTCTTTCTCTCCGCTCTCTCTCTTTCTTTTTCACTCTCTCTCTTTCTCTTTCTTCTCTCATTCTGTCCTTTTTCAATCTCTCTCTATTTATCTATGTATTTAAAAATCTATCCATTTCTCTTTCCATACCTTTTTCTATTACTTACTAACTCTCATATTGTTTTGTGATCCTAGTCATATTCAACAAAGCAGTGTATTGCTGCGTTTTACCACCTTACGTCTTGGATCTGCCGAGGACGACATTTTGTGTCCCATTGCGCACAGTGAATACAAATATATTTCTTAATAATTAAATGAATTCGTAATATTATGTAAATTGTGCTTAATGCAAAAGATTAATCTACAGGCTTATTAATCTTGAGAAAGTTCGAAGCTATGACTAGCTACTATTCCTCATAATCGACATTTTATATAAAAAACAAAACAATTTTTACACTTTGGGCTTATGTTTGGTGGAAAATATGGACTTGGATCGAAATAATCTTCTCGTCTTGAAAAACACGGGGAAAATCGTCCTGCTATTATCTGAAATTTTCCATCAGGGCTTGATACATCGACATAAATAATCGTAAATAATTAGTGATTGATTTGGACAAAACAAAACTGACTTTGTTTATAATATTGTATATATGTTTCAATTAATTAAAGTTTTTAGTTGAGATAAAAAAGTTAGGGTCACGATCGGGATTCGAACCCACGACCTTCGGCTAGATACGTCGCTGCTCTACCTCTTGAGCTATCGTGACTTCAAGGTCAAGTGGTAGAGCAGCGGCGTATCTAGCCGAAGGTCGTGGGCCGAATCCCGCTCGTGACACTAACTTTTTTATCTCGACTAAAAACCTTAATTAATTGAAATATATTAATTGGTCAAGCGGACCACGAAAACTAGTGAATTGTATATATGTGTAAATGTGAGATGACTCTTCTTGTACATCTGATAATGCTTGATAGTGCGGATCTCTCCTTCATATATTTTAAAAATCGCGAATCACGATTCTTCCGCATCACCAAGTCGAGGACTTTGGAAATGGCCAAAATAAACAGTTATGAACGAAACAATATTTTCCTAATACTAATTACGCTTACTGCGCATCGTCACGGCCCCTGCGGCCTTCATTAATTCATAATGAATCGGCCTCAGTGCTAAGTTTTCTCTACTCTTGCAGGAACAGCGATCGATCAAATCCGGAGAAGTCACCCAGCGTGAGTCCCAGAGCAGGAGCGCAGCCACGCTGAGACTTCAGAGTGGCACTTTCACAACAGAAAAGGTTGGTGACAATCGAATTCCATTTACAGTAATCCATTAACGCTTAAGGATTATCGTTTTGGGAGTTAATAATTCCACGGAGGATCATTCAAAAGTCTCTGATTAATGGCTATAATCTGCCTCCCTGACATTTGTCCGTTATTTAAATAAAAAAGGGTTAACACAATATCTGTATAAAAAAGTCTCCTAGCGCATAGTTTAAGTCGATAAGTGTTAAAAAAAAAGCATAAACAACTCAGATAAAAGAAAGCACCATGCCTATTCCAATACCTCAAATGTAAGGTCTCTCAAACATATTACAGTTTTCAAATAATTTTAATTTAAAATTTGCACTTTAATAAATCGACAAATATCTTTCTAATTATTTTAATAAAGTAACATTTATACTTCAGATATGCAGAAAGAACTATTATCAAAGTGAGAAATACGATATATTATAGATAATTAAACCAACTAAAAAAACTGTTTATTTAACATTTAGTTAGACAACAGTCATTCTGTTATGACTGTTATGTTTTTGTGCAATAAAAGGTTATTATTTATTACAGAAAATGTCATTATTTTTCATAAATAATTTTATTATTGACTTTACCTTTTCGAAAATTTTTCATTCTTACTTCTGCTGCTTGATTGCTAATCAAAATATTGATTTTTTTAAAAGCATTTATGATTTTATTGTAATTTTCTATTTTAGAATATGATGGCTGCTCAACAGCAAAGCCAAACGATAACTTCGACTGGTTTGGTAAACCAGGAAAAGCATACGAGCCATCAAAATTACATATTTACCAAAGGGATGAGCTCCAAAACTTCAGTGATATCTTCACAAGTAAAGTCTTATATTTGATTGTTTTTTTTAAAAGTTGTATTGATTTTTTTAATTTTTTGTTTGTTAGATGGTGAACAGTAGTCACCTTTTAAACGGTCAGAGCAATTTGAAGATGATAGAAGAAGACCCTTTTCCTATTTGCTTGGACGAGCTGGAGAAGCTGAGTTCCAATTCGACGACGCAAGAAGTCGAAAACGCCAAAGCCAAATACAGCGACCAGTTGTACGCGGCTGTGAAAACTGTTAAAAGCCTGAAAGGGGAAAACTGCAAAAAGATCCCACTCGTGCTGAACAGGATCAACGAGATGATCAGAAAGGCCTGGGAGGTGCCGACTCACGGGCACGACATCGGTTCCACCCTCTGTAACTCGCTGCGGGCCAGCGGCGGCCTCGACTTCCTCCTCACCAACAACACAGACGACGAACAACAGTTCGCGAGTGCCAAACTGCTCGAGCAGTGCCTCACCTCGGAAAACAGGGACTATGTCGTGTCCAACGGTCTCGAGATGGTCGTCACCTCCGCCTGCGTCTGCACCAAAAATTCCAATTCCATCGAACATTCCCGGGTGGGGACCGGCATCCTAGAACACCTTTTCAAGCACAGCGAAGGAACGTGCAGCGACGTTATCAGACTCGGCGGTCTTGACTCGGTCCTCTTCGAATGCAGGAAAAACGACGTCGAAACCCTCAGGCACTGCGCTGGTGCTCTGGCCAATCTGTCTTTATACGGTGGAGCAGAAAACCACGAGGCCATGATCAAGCGCAAGGTCCCGATGTGGCTTTTCCCTCTCGCCTTCCACACAGACGACAACATCAAATATTACGCGTGTTTAGCGATAGTTGCCCTCGTCGCCAATAAAGAAATCGAAGCTGCCGTCCTCAAGTCGGGCACTTTAGACCTCGTAGAACCCTTCATCACAACTCACAATCCTTCGGAATTCGCCAAATCGAATCAGGCTCACGCCCACGGACAGAGCAAGCACTGGCTCCAGCGGTTGGTGCCTGTGCTCAGCTCAAAGAGAGAAGAGGCGAGGAACCTGGCTGCCTTCCACTTTTGTATGGAAGCGTGGATTAAGAAACAACAAGGGAACACGGAACTCTTCAAGAACATCGGTGCGATCGAACCGCTGAAGAAGGTTGCCAGTTGCCCCAATGCCATCGCGTCCAAGTTCGCCGCACAAGCGCTCAGGCTCATAGGAGAAGAGATACCCCATAAACTAAGCCAGCAAGTCCCTCTCTGGAGCACGGAAGACGTACGGGAATGGGTCAAACAGGTATTTTCATTCAAGCCGGACCCGTTAAACCGAAAAGTAACATTTTTTGTTTACAGATAGGATTTGCGGAGTACGCGTTAAACTTCACAGACAGTCGGGTCGACGGTGACCTTCTCCTCCAACTCACGGAAGACAATCTCATGTCAGACATCGGAATCACAAATGGAATCAGAAGAAAAAGGTAAATATTCTGTACCGATTTTTGTTTTTATTCCAAACGTCAAACACACCTCACCACGATTGTCATGTAGATACGTTGTGTGTGTGTTTATATGTTATTTCAAATCCAGGCCAGATGGCGTAAATTATTGGTTTTATATAAAGGTTCACACGCGAGCTGCAGACTCTGAAGAAAATGGCCGACTACAGCAGTCGGGATTCTTCCAACCTCAACTCGTTCCTCCAGTCCATTGGGCCAGAATTTTCCGTCTATACATATGCCATGCTTAACGCTGGCGTTGACAAAGAGACTTTAAGGTGTGTCAAGATAATAACCGTTTATAAAAAATGTATAAAAAAACAGACCTTTACACACGAATTTCGGTTGGTTTCAGGAGTTTGTCAGAAGAACAGCTAGTCAGTGAATGTGGCATAACTAACAGTATTCACAGATACCGAATGCTTGATTTGATACGAGGTAAACTCCACCATAAGATTTGTAGGATTTTTGTAAATAACATTGAAATAAATTAATTCTTTAAGAAATGCGGGGTGAGGTTTGATTTCCTTATTTGTTAACCCAGGATATTGTTTTATTTTATTTTGTATTTTATTTTATTTTTTTTTTTTTTATTAGCATGATATTTTTTGTATTAATTAATCAAATACTTTAGAAGTGATGGAAATCACAAAACGTTGCCCTCTAATTTTTGAACTTTCACTAGTAGAAATGCAATATTTAGATAATTGGATTATCTGCCCACATGGGTTGATATTATTAATTTTTAAAAAAATTGCACTAGCATAATGATTTATTTTGTTCATTCAAGCATTTTTTTTCTTTTTTGAGAAAAATATTCCCAATTCTATAGTACATATCAATTTATTAACTTTCATACAGCATTTTGAGTGTTTTAACTGCATGATTCAACAGTTGGGACAGGTAAATGTTGCCTGTTTTAATCCGATATTTCTTCGAATGTTAACAGCAAACGAAAATAACATTGGGACATCTTTCGAAGAGAACCTCGACAAATCTCTCGATGTGTTTATCAGTTATAGACGTTCGAATGGATCTCAACTTGCCAGGTACGTTGGAGAAAAAAAAAATAAACAAAAAAAAAATAATTGGCTGGGTTTTGACTGGTTTTTTGGGAAATTGTTAAGTTTGGTCTGTTTCGTGGCTCAATGAGCACACTAAAAATGTATGGTTTTTTGTTGAACATATGTGATTTTGTCTTGATGTCATGCATGCTTCATAGTGGCATTCTTCAGTTGTCTTTTGTAATTTAAGTTAAGGTTTTTTTATTTTTTTAAGTGTGGTTTCAATGGTGCATGATTATTTTTATTAATAGGTTATTTTTTTTTATAGTCAAGATTTTCATGGAATCCGTAGTATATTTAGATTAATAAGTAATTTTTTATAGACATAAAAACAGAAGGCTAGATAAGAATAAATTGAATGCTCTTCCCAATTATCAGGAAAACCTGGTAAATCTGCTAAAATAACATGAGTAGAGTAAAATAGCCTAAACAGCAATAAACTTGTATACGCAGTTACTCCCTGAAGATGGCAAAATCTAAAATATTAGAGATAATCAGTGAGATATAACGCTGATGAACTGCTACTAATAATAAATCATTATACACAACAAAATTATTCTTTACATGTTTTAACAAACAATTCTCATTAGTATTTGTACTTTTAATACCATCAAGGATGCAGCAATATTACAGAGATTAAGTTTTTAAATAAAATATTTATATTTTCAAATTATTATTGTAAAGAGCTTCTGTGTCAATAGCAGAACCTTTATTCCAACAGAAAAAACATTACAAAAATAAATATTTTTCTCTGTGATTTTTCTTTAATTTAGATGATTAAATTGTTTTATTTAAATAATTAATTTTATTTCTTTAACAGTCACATTGATCAAGTAACGCATTGCTTAATAAAAGAAAAAAAGGCTAGTTTTATTCTTTAATAGTCAGCAAATGTAAGAACTAAAGCGTGTTGGAATAGATCAGCATGATCACACTTGTGTGAGAATCAGACATGCTAACAATCTGCACCACTACAGTGACGCTTTTTAGACTTTGTCCACTAAATGTACTAAATGTCAGGCTCATCTTTTAATTTTATACATAAACCTTTATACCAAAAATTAGGATTATTCAAAGATTTTAACCACATTTAAGCCAAGGAATGACCCTAGACGCTCCACTTAATAATAATAAATCTATTATCATGATTAATCACAATCATGGCTGGAAAATCACGGCATTAAATATCTTTTTATTTGAAAAGACACAAACTGAAAGACCTTGATGTTTAATTATAACAGAGAAAATAGATAGATGAAAATTAAAAATTCATAAGGCGATAATTTTATCAGTTTATAAAGCCAAACCTACACACCATATCAACTCTGTAAAACTGATTTGAAGGAGAAATAATAAAAAAATATATCTACTTTCCCCTAAACTGATAAACTATTTGAAAAACAGTACAATTATATATAATGAGAAGAAAAATAAGTTTTTATTTTTTTTGGGTTGCTTGTGTTTTATGAAAGTTCAAATACTTTTATAAGCTATAGTACAGTAATTTTTCGTTATTTTTTAAATTAAAGTAATATTTTCATTCACATTTTTTCAAGTAAAGATTAAGTTTTATAGTTTTTTGCTCCTATTTTATTGAGTTTTGTAATCATATTGAATTTTCCAGTTTACTTAAGGTCCATCTCCAACTCAGGGGCTTCTCGGTTTTCATCGACGTCGAGAGGCTTGAAGCAGGAAAATTTGACAACAACTTGCTCCACAGCATTCGCCAAGCGAAACATTTTATCTTAGTTTTAACCTCCAGTGCGCTAGATAGGTGCATAGCGGATGACGACTGCAAAGACTGGGTGCATCGGGTATGCTGAAAATTCGGAAAATTTAAATTTTCAAGAAATAGACTCAACTTGAATTGGTTTACAGGAAATCGTAGCAGCACTACAAGCACAATGCAACATAATCCCAATTATGGATAATTTCTCCTGGCCTGATCCTGAAAAGCTCCCTGACGATATGAGAGCTGTCTGTCATTTCAATGGTGTAATGTAAGTTTCATAATACACATAAATAAAATATTGCAAATTGCAATAAATATAACAAAACAATTTTTTTTTTAAATTGTCAAGGTGGATCCACGACTACCAGGACGCTTGTGTGGACAAGCTCGAAAGGTTTATGAGGGGCGACCCGATTTCAAGGTCGATCACAGGGACGAGTCGGACAGGCGACATGACACCAGGCACACCATCCATCAGTCACAAGCCGCCCTTCAACCGCAACCACTCAAACATGAGTGCGGACGGTTCCGAGGGGAGTCGGGAATGACTAGAAGGGCACGCCAGGTCTGTCTGTCTTATTCCACTTTTTTCTCTTTCTAACAATTTGCCCATTTACTAACACATTGTGTTCTATTGCATGCTGATAATATTACATCAGATAATGTGAGTTCAATTATTTTAATTAATTTTTTTAACTTGACACAAAATAAAAAGAAAAGTATTCTTTATAGTTCCATGATTATCCAAATAATATAAAAAATACATATAATAATTATTAATAGCTTAACTTAGATTTCCTCTTTGGTTTTATGAGGTGATAAACCTGTAGTTTGCTCATTTCCTATCATTTTGGACTCCTTATCCTTGGTGTTTTGGTCTGTCAGACACATTGCAGCGTCATTCTATATTGAGTAGGTAGATGGTTCTATATAATTATAAATAAATAGTTACTGGTAGTTACAAACCAGATATCACATTCAAACAACTGTATTACAGCTATCCAAACAGTATAGAACTTTATCATTGTTGATTGAAAAGCTTTTTTTCAACATCACAGACTTGCATATAACTTTTTCTATAACTATTCTATAACTTATCTGAAAGTTATGTTGTCCACAAGAACATGGAAAATGTTTCAACATCAAAGATGTTGTTGATGATAAAATAATTTCAAGTTTAGAAAAACTGTATCTAAATATATATACCAAATATCACAACAATTTTGGTCAGTGATACTTAATTTATTTGTAAGAAAGTTACACACCAGACATCACAATAATTTGGGTTAGAGATGGGAAGTGATAGTTAATTTATTTGTAAGGATGGTACATACCAAATATCCCTATTATTTTGGTTATTAATGGTTAGTGATAGTTAAATAATTGGTAAGATGGGTTACATACCAGATATCACAATAATTCAGGTTAGAGATGGTTAATTAATTTGTAACTATGGTTAAATATCAGATATCACAATAATTCACGTTAAAGTTGGTTGATGTATTTGTAAGGAGGTTATATACCAGATATCACAATGATTCAGGTTAGAGATGGTTAATTTATTTGTAGCTATGGTTAAATATCAGATATCACAATAATTCAGGTTAAAGGTGGTTAATGTATTTGTAAGGAGGTTATATACCAGCTATCACAATGATTCAGGTTAGAGATGGTTAATTAATTTGTAACTATGGTTAAATATCAGATATCACAATAATTCACGTTAAAGTTGGTTAATGTATTTGTAATGAGGTTATATACCAGATATCACAATGATTCAGATTAGAGATGGTTAATTAATTTGTAGCTATGGTTAAATATCAGATATCACAATAAATCACGTTAAAGATGGTTAATTTATTTGAAATGATTGTTACATACCAAACATCACAATAGTTCGGGATGGTCAAGTTATTTTCAGTTGGTGAACCATTACAATTATTGTCCTATCTCCTTTAGAGATGGCTAATGATGGTTGAGTATTTGCAGGGATGGTCTGAGATGGTTATTAATAAATAATTAGTGATAGGCTAGATGATATACTACCAGATGTCGTTAGTAATTATAAGATTTACTGCCTGAGGTCTTCCTCGCTATTTTGGTTTGTCAGAAACATTTCGCCTTGTAGACAAGTAGACAGTTAATTACGGTTATAAATAAATAACTTACTCACGACTTCTTTACCTTTCTAATGCGATGCAGTGCTAGTATGGCTTTCTAATATAATGTCTCATTTCTCAAATTTTTCTCATCTTCAGTTCACTTCATGGTAAAAAATTGTCCCTTAGGGATGTCATTACAAAAAATCATTTTTTTGCGGCTATACATGTCATTCATTATTAGGAATGCACTGTCTTAATTTCAGCCCTTTAGATCCAATGGCTGTGTGTTGTCTTCAGTTAGTCACAGAACTATTTGATGTATGCATAGAGATAGTGTTGGCTACATACCAGATGTCACAATAATTTGGATTAGTGACCATTACATACCAGATATCACAATAGATGGCATTAGGGATGGTTATATGATAGTTGGAGTTTTATGTTTTTGGTACCCAGTGGATGTGATAATTATTTTCTTAATATTGTTACGGAGGGCCAAGGGTTTATAGAGGGGGTCAGTGATAGTTCCACACTAGATATCACCAGATGTGGTTAATAAGTGTATAATGTTCACTTGAAGTATTCCTATCTTTGCTGTTTTGGTCGGTCACACTGCTGTTATACACAGGCCCAGCGCTTCAGAGCAAATAGGCAAACCAATGATCGGAACTAATAAACTCAAGACCCCAAGAGGAAATCTCACTACAGAATAATTACTGTATATACATGTATTTCCTTTTCCTTTCTAAAATTTTTGGTTTTAGTGTAGTACATTTTTTTTATTTAAAAACTCTAAGTACTAACATTAAGAAATTAAATGTACAACACTATTTGTTATACTTTTGTATGTCCTTTCTCGTCATCCTGGTTTGCAATTTTTTTTTTTTTTTTTTTTTTTTTTTTTTTTTTTTTTTTTTTTTTTTGTCATTTGACACAGTTCAATTTTCTCCACTGGTGAAATGTAATGTAGACGACATAGTTGTTCATGAAATTGAATGAAACACATTCAGTGAAAAAGGCCAAATGCTGGTCAAACTAAAGACTTTTACTGTTTGTTGCATTTTACGATAAAATAAACTTGTCATTGTAATAATAGCTTGAATAAAACAATTAATTTATTTTCTAGGCGCAAGAAATCCGGGAGCCCCGCAGGGGTGAATGCCTGGCGACCGCCCACCAGCCCGCAAAGCGCGAACCGAAGACACAACCAAAACCGAGCTGTTCAACCTCGCAAATTTTCCAATCAGCTCAGCAATCGATATCCATCCCGAAGCAGCAATACCAGGGAGGAAGATCTCTCTCAAAGCGCCGACGCGCTTTTAGACCTCCACTCCGACTTGCCATCCCCACCGCAGCCATCACCTCCTCCTCCTCGCCGGTCGCATTCTGTCAAGGAGCTCACAACAGCTCAGGAAGCAACGGCGGAGGAATCAACTCAAGAGGATCAGGATCGAGACGAGACGACTGGTTCTTTGGAAACGGTTTCAACGCTCGCGACGTCCTCGTTAAAAATGAGAAAAAAGCGAAACTTTGTCGACCGATGGACAAGCAAAGTGAGATCGTTCATGAAGAAATAGAGACACGCAAAAAACACGCTAACAAAACGCTCATCCAAGCTACTTTCGACAACTGGGAGCTTTCTGAAAAAAAATCCAGATCCCCTGATACAATTTTTCACCTTTAATTATGGACACTATACCGTGCCTTTCGTTAGTGATCACAAAAATTCACTTTGCATTAAATTTAAAGATTTGTAACACTGTTAAAAGTTGGGATGATTATAATTATTATGCTTTTAATGTTACAAAAAAATATTGTAAATACAAAATGCCTTATTTTTAGATTTGTTACTCGTTCATATTATTTTCCTTCAATTTTTTCATTTATAGGATCATGAAGAAATAATCGCTCCTCTCTTTCAAATTGGATCACCAAACATTTGGCTTCAGCAGCTGTAAACGAATAGTTCAATATAACGAGAACTTCATACTCAACAGGCATTATTTATGAATACAAATACAAGCTGGATAATAATCATTAAACCTATAACAACATTGGAAGGCATAAAAGGGTTACAAAAAATAAGTAGGAAATTGAAAAACGTAATTTTTATTGACTCATCCCAATAAAATATATCGCTAAAAGTTAACAACCTCCACTTTTTCCAGTGTATTGATGAAATAATGTATTGTAATAAATAGGATCTCTTGAATATTTTAAAGGAAGAAATAAACCAATAAAGTAAATTATATCAAAAACAAACACACAATATATATTAAGAATAAAAAGAAACAACTTGATGGCTATAAGTAAAATTAGTACAAATATCAATACTGCTGCTTGCTCCGGCCAATGTTAGAACCTAAACATAATTGCAAAAAAAATGTAATTAATTAAAACATCAAACGCAAAGCATGTAACAAACCTCATTTGGTGTGGTGGTGTAAAGGGCAGAGTAGATAGTTGAAGAGGAAGTTTGAAGCTTAGAAAGAACCTGTCCAGTGTAGGAGAGCTGGTAGAAGTGATTGCCCGAGCCTCCAGCCAAAACTGAACCTCCTTGAAGTTTTGTAATGTGAAATATATTGTCAGAAGTGCTGTTAAATATTGACATCATTTCTAGAGTTCGAAGGTGCCAGAGACCCAACCCAGGTCCTCCGCCACAGACCTAAATTTTAACAATATTTCAGATTTTTTATTTTTATTTTATTTTTATTTTTTATTGACAGACCATCCAGTCTTGAGTTAGATCGACATCGCCGATCCACTTGCCGAGATGGGGTCTCGAAAGCTTCGGGTCCTTACTAGGCTCGAGCATGTTGGTCATTCCAGGCTGTCGGAAGTCCCACAGCCTCACTGAGCCATCTTCGCTCGCCGAAGCCATTATTTGCTCACTAAACAGTCCGGGTTACTTTCCACCAAATTTAAAACCATTTAAAAAATATCATACTTGGTAGTGATACTGTGGATATAATCTGTGTGACCCTTGTAATTCCTGATCATTTTCCCGTCCTCGAGACTGAAAGCGTATATGGTGCAGTCGCCGCAGCCAGCGTAGAGCTCGGCATTTTCTTTCACAAACATCGAGTTCACATCGGTTTTCAGTAGCTTGTCACTGAAACAATTCATACAAATCAGATGAACAATAATTTTAATAATAATAATAATGATAATCAATGTAAATGTATTTTAGAAGTCATAATTGGCCATATTAATTATTTCAATTAATTATTCTTTTTATATAAGGTCTTGGAGGAGATGAAAACGTTAGTGTCACGAGCAGGATTTGAACCCACAACCTTCGACTAAATACACCGCTACTCTAACCAGTGAGCTGCCATGATGCTTGAATCTTGCTCGTGACACTAACATTTTCATCTCAACCAAGACCTTAGATAAAAAGAATAATTAATTGAAATAATTAATATGGCCATAAATATATAGATTAACATAATAATTAAAGAAGTAATCATTTTGTTAACAGCACCCGTGGCCACTTCATAAATTGCTGAGAATCGGATACTGATTACATGACAATTGAAAAATGGCAAAAACAGGGAAAATTCGATAGGTTGATGATTGAGATGAGGAGTCGGTGTCCGAGTGGATCGAAGTCACAATAGCTCAAATGGTAGAGCTGCAGTGTATTTAGCCGAAGGTCGTGGGTTCAAATCCCGCTCGTGTCACTGACTTTTTTATCTCAACCAAAACATTAGATAAAAAATAATAATTGATTGAAATATAAATAACAACCTAAGATAAAAAGCTTAAAATAAATCTAAGGTCTTCCTGTTAATTCCTTTTACACTAAACACCATACACTAATAATCTAAAATATTCTGTCAATAACTGCCAAAGTTCACTGACCATGTCAGGGCTTTTGACCTGTAAATTCATGGCAGTTTGAAAAGTTATGAATGTAGGTACATCCTTGGAAGGAATAAGGATGACCACCAATGGATATTGATGTGGTTCTACTGCACGTTTTATGATCCAAACTAACCACAAATATTAGCACACTTGCCAGGGAGTGGGTATTATCAGAAAACATAGGTGACATCTTCACAGTCACCAAGAAAGTGAAATTGTGATTGTTTCAATCCATGACCTACTTTCAATGGAAAGAAAGTTTAACTTTGCAGAAGTTATGGTGGTGCAAGAATTATTTGACCGACATCCCCAGGATCATGGGACCGATCGAAAAACATAGCTAATAACTAAAATATGAATTAATAAACTTAAATTACTTTGATGTTGGCAACGTGATTGTCCATGAGACCTGAGGACTGAGGCTTTTGATGGTGTCCCAGTCGAGGCCGAAGATAGCACCGACCGTTCCAACGATGAGGAACTTGTCGGATGAAGACAGGCTGCAGACCTGCTCCTTGTTTGGCACCGTGTAGATGTGTTTCGGCACTTTATCGGCATTTTCGTTGTCCTTCAGGATGCTCTTCAAGCTGAAAAGACGAAGGGTTTACGACGGTCCTGAAAGTGGTGGAATGTCTGACAAATTACTCGAATATCGCTATGTCGCCGTAGATGCAGCCGCAAATCAACCAGTTACCGCAGGGCGAGAATACTTGAGAAAGTACTGTGTTGTAGAATTTCTTGTCGACCATCCTGCCTGTTGTCGACTCCTGAAAGTTTCGATTTTGGATTTAGGGCATCAGTCAAAACAAACAGGCATCATGTCAAAAGGGAGGTTACGCTTGAGTCGCTTTTCGACCAAGTCGCCTCAACCCACAATGGCGGAACGTGACTTCTTATTCCATCAAACTGAATAACCGCGGTAGCCAGTTGGTTATGGCGTCTGGCTCGTATTTGCTACGCTAGAAGTCTTGGGTTCGAACCCAGCATATCACATGAGTTTTTAATTGAGAAAAGTATGACAGAGGTACTGTAAAGTGGTTTGACCCCTCATCTACGACACCCAATGGGTAGTTGAATGAAAAGCCCTGTATGACAGATTTTAAAAAATTATTTTATTTGTACCTTAAACATATTAATACATATTACAAATATGCCAAGAAGAAACTTTTTTCACACTATCACGGCACTAACACTAATCCCAGCTCTGCACCAGGAGGACATATACCATGAGAAACTAACCCATGCTGACGCTCAGTGTGAAGGATTAAGGGGCAAGAAGGAAAACGTCTACACAACGTGGGCATATTCCCATCCTTTTTGCAGATTGTACAAAGAGGAGGAAGAAACAGCCACCCATATCATCTTGTAATGCGAAGCAACCGCTCGATGGAGACATAACCTGGGATACGAAGAAAACCCAGGGTATGGAATTGCATCAACGAGAGTCAATGACCTAGTACTTTTTAAAGGAAGGATCAAATCGATTGCACTAAACTAAGAAAGTACAGTAAGCCGGAATGCTGTAGAGCCTGGGGAGAACCCTACTTCCTAGCACCATCATCATCCCTTCGTCTTTTGAAATCGGTTAGAACAACATCCTTCATGTTGATTTTTTGGACTTAACTTATTATTGAAAATCATGGCTTCACCGACTCATCCTCTTACCGCCTTCTTCATGCATTCAAATATACCCAAATAGCTCAAATCACACTGCTAGACACACTTCACTAACCGAACATTTCTATGTAATCAAATTTACAGTAGGATTAATATTTTATGAATACGAAGGCTTTAAGGGGGAAAAATTGTGAAACGTTGAAATAACACGAAAAGTGAAATATCAAATACAATTGAGAATCAGACTATGTACAATAAAGACTTTTAGTCCCATTTAGCATGTCGTAACAATCACATAAAACTTTTTCTTACCGTAGTCTTAAGCAGGGAACATCTTACTCTGACTATTATCCATTTTGCCGGAGTCCCGCAGGGTAGTATCTTCGGTCCGATGCTTTATTCAACTGTTAACCTCCCTACCCATCCATTCACACTTTTGCGACGATACTGCTATCCTATCCTCCAATAAAGATCCCGTCCTCTCACATCGCTCCTTATAAACCTAATCAAAATAGAACCTTGGGTAAAAAAGTGGAGGATAAATGTTAACACATAACCTTCACTGTCCGACGAGGTGATAATGCCATAATATACATCACATATCCCTTCCTTCAGTTAACCACATCTACTACCTTGGGCTGTACATTGTCGAAAGCCTAATTTGGAATCCCCATACAAGGCTAAAAACGCAGGAACTGATTAGACGCTAACGATCAAAACTGACGCTTCACAACCAACGACATTCGGCATTGAACTCTGGGGCTGAACCAAACATTCTGATTATTATCCCGATTTCCCAATTCAAAACCCTCCGAAAAATATTGAACCTTCCTTTCTACGTATCTAACCACAAAATCCACAATTATTTTAAAATTCTTTTTGTGAAAGATGTCATAAAAGCCAGATTCATAAAATTCCACAACTCCATTTCATTACACCCCAATCCCTTAGTGTTAAACGTAACATCCCGAATAATCCCCAGTAATCTCCCAATGGAGAATGAAGTGGCAGCAGCAGTAGAGTCATAGCATCTACTAGAAATGTTACCACTGGGTGATTCTTCACACCATAGTGCCTAATAGTCCCAGATTTTATTTACAAATTTGTAAATGTTAACAGTTTTACTTGTAGTATAAAAATAAATAATGCATGTAAAAAAATGTTAAACGTATGTTAAGAATTGCAGCGGTGCAATGTTACAAATGAGTTAATATTAACATATGTTCTGTTGGTAATTGTTTCAATGCTAGGTTGTTGATAGTTTAGGGTAGAGTATACGCTTAAGGGGGAAATCGGTTTTAAAGCTTGTCTACTGTCTAAGGATTCTTGCCAGGAACTTCTATATTCGTTCATATTTCCGAATGAATAACTGGCGGATGGATTGAACTGAGCGATGGCTGAAGACGTGGCAGGTAAGGCATAAGAGAAATCCCGCATTGGCATGATTCACTCGTACTGTGGTGAAAAACAGAATGGAAATATGGAAATTGTCTGAAAACGCTATTTAAAATGAGTGTGAAAAACGAGTCGAACTGTAAAAAACTTGATTTCAAGATTGGGATTGGACTTGTTTGGAATGAGAGACTTGGCTTCACGTGTAAAGAGGACGTTGCCTTTCGTTTCTAACTTATTTGTAAAAGCGGCTTTCAAAATTAAACAAAAAGCGAAAAGAAAGAGGAAAAAAAGAATCGCCTGCCCCAGGAGGAAGATGGAGGCGATCGAAGAGAGCACGTTGTATGCGTTCAAGCCCTTTGTCTATACTTATTATAACAGGGCCTCAAAAAGAAAACCAGCGGCCAGGAGCGGTCACAGGATTGTATGCAACGATAATTATCTGTATTTATTCGGCGGTTACAACCCCAACATCGTCACCACCGTTTGGGGGCCGATATCCATGCTTTTAAGAGAACTCTGGAGGCTGAATCTGTCGACAGGTAACTGGGAACTGCTGCCCGTCGAAAACATCCCGAAGTACGTCGCCTCGAGTTCGGTCATCCTCACGGGCGATGTCCTCCTAGTCTACGGCGGTTCGGGCGTCCCGTTCGGGGCCAATTCCAGCAACAAGCTGTTCGTCTGCGATCTCTCCCTGGACGTGCTAGAGTTCACGGAAGTGCTGACCGTGGGCACCAGCCCGATACCGGGATACGGGCAGGCTTGTTTCTTACAAGACGGTAAACTATTCGTGTTCGGCGGGACGACCGGCTACACCTACTGGTCGGACATCGGCTCCCTGGACATAAGGACGAACTGCTGGGAGACGGAATACACGTGCGTCGGCCTGGAGAACGAACCGAGAGGCAGGTACAGGCACGAACTGGGAAACCTGCACAATAAGACCTTCGTCCTCGGCGGCGGCACGTCCGACCACTCCTTCGGCTTTACGGAAATCAACGTGTATTCTCACGAAGACAAATCCTGGCTGGCGGTTCCGGCTTCCTGCGACCCCGAACAAAACGATTATCCACTACCGAGGAGATACCACAGCTCTGTCCAATCCGACGATAAGATATTTATTTTCGGAGGTATATATAACAAAAGAGCTCTCCAGGACACTTGGTCTCTCGATCTGAACACACTCCAGTGGACCTGCGTCCGTTCACTCTATTTTCCCTATCCCACATTCTTCCACGACAGCTGTCTCACCCCATCAGGCAAAGTGTACACCTTCGGCGGTGTCAGCACGAAGGAACTGGTCAACCACTCCATCGACGGATTGATCACCAAGGAGCAGGTTACAGAAAGGAGCGCGGACCTCTACTCCGCCTGGATCTGCATACCCAGCCTCAAGGAAATCGCGTGGGAGGCCGTCTTATTTTACCGATTCCACGAAAACGAACACACCAAAGCTCTCATCCCGACACCTTTTAGAGACCGGTTAATCGATAAAAGATAACTTTTATCTTTTCTAGCCCATTGTTAATCGAACCTTATTGTTGGTCGCAATTGTATAATTTTAATATAACTAGAATTATTTTATTATCGAAATACAATAATCCATCACTTCTTAAATCTAGTTCACACACTATTAAAACTTGCAATAGATTACAATATTGGTATAGACATATTGTACTTACTATATACTTTGAATTTATTACAATATAATAAATTCGAATTATAAAATAGCCAATGCACGTACTCACTAACTAACCTCTAAACATCGAGTTGTAAAATAAGTCCTTAGCGTTTTTTACGGAAAATTCAATTTACAATTAAGGGCCTTTCAATCAAATTTAATCAACAATAAATTGACAATTTTGTTTCACTACTTGTTGCTACCATAAAGGTTTTTGAACGATAACACCTGGATGTGTTGTTTTGAGAAGTTTGAAGTGGAAATTTTTGACATTTTTTCCGAATATTAGAGTTTTTTAGGAGGAATAAGTGAATATCTACAAGAAAATGTCAAGCAAATATAACTGGGTTGGGAATCACATTCTAGCAAAGCTCCAACAATTTTTGCCGCAATCTTTTTTCTTCCAAACAGGCTTGGAAGCCTAACATCACAAAACAAAAACAAGGTAAACACAATATAACATCATTAAGAAAATGTAAGAAAACAAAATATAAATATACTTAAAGAATAAGAAAAATACAAAAATGTTTCTATAGGTACTTCAAATTTATATCACATATGTTAAATAAACAATACTAGACTGATAATTTATGTAAACTATCAAAAAGATATAACTAAATAGATATAAATTCCAAGTGGAACTTAGTTTTTTATTTTTGTAATTTTATCACCAAACTCTTTATCTATCTCTCATTAAATGTATCATATCAACCACCCTGATCTCTATCAAGATCATCTTCAGCACTCTCAACACGACAAGCAAGAATGGCACAATTACACAGAAGACAAACACTTTGAGACCTGAAGATGATCTCAATAAAGATCGAAACGTTGGCACGATAAAGAAAATGTTTTTCTGAAACTTACATCACACCAGACCTCATCTCACGATTTCTGAATAATTAATAATTAAACGAATGAACGGAAACGAGACGAAGGAAGGCGTTGCCTGAGCAATAATAAGGCGTTTAGATATGTTAAACCGTCAAAGCAGTTGAGCCGTGATGAATGGTTGCTCTGTTCGCCTAGTTTCTCTTTTTATTTTTATTTTCTTTCTTCTCTCTCACTCTCACTCTCTCTTTCTTTCTAGTACGCCCACGGGTGAAGTCAAAAATTTTTATAACTACGTTATTGAAAAACTAGTTTAGCTTTTGCAAACAAACTGCACTTTCCCAAGAGAAAAATTCCCATATGTGATGGTTTCTTCTTATTATTAAGTTAGGGATTTTAAAGAATATATACTTAGTTTGAATACTTGACAGATATAATAAATTCAATCATTAATCATTCTTTGTCAGTCATAAGGCCAATTAAATAAAAAATAAAAATAAAAAAATCATTCTTTATTAGTAGTTTTACATAAAGTTTTTTTCATTTCTTTTATGTTGGAGTCTTTTTTCATTTCATCTGGTAAATCATTATATAGATACATGCTTGTTATAAGAATTTTTTTTAAAAATATTTTACAGTATTAAATCTTGGTATTGTGAAATATTTTATACTCCATATGCTGGTTGTAACCCATTTAAAATGATGTTGAAAAGTAGTATTGAAATATTTAGGTTGTTTAAAATATATTAAGTTAAAAACAATCTTCATAATGGATACTTATTAATGTTGGTAATATTTTAGTAAATTTACCTTAATATATTTGTCGTAAATCAAACTATCGTAACGTAGGCCTAATATATATGTATATGTATGAATTTAATGATTTTTGAATCTTATATTTATTTTCTTCGGGTATATCACACATAACAGGATCACTCTATCTAAAATGTAGGATTATTAGAATTTGTGAAAGTTCTAATCTTAAATTTTTCTTCCTAAATTTGATTGTTTTATTAAATGCATATAATAACGAGTACACTTTGTTTCTTACAAAGAGGGCGTATTCAGAAATTTAAAGCGTTATGTTTGACGTTAATAAATGCTCTTTTCTTCGCTTTATTTCTCTCTCTCTCTCTCACTCTCTGCCCTCTCACTCTCTCTCTCTCTCACTCTCTCTCTGTCTTCTCTCTCTCTCTCTCTCTCTCTGTCCTCTCTCTCTCTCTCTCAATCTCTCACTCTCTCTCTCTCTCTCTCTCTCTCTCTCTCTCTCTCTCTCTCTCTCTCTCTCTCTCACCTACACAATTACTCTTGACTAATTTAATGAATATGTTGTGCTTTTTCAAGTTTACTTCACATAAATTAAATTACATAATGACCATGATAAACAGAATATCCAACTTTTTAAATCAAGAAAAACTGAGTTGAAGGATACAGTTTTTGTACAATAATATATTTTATACTAATTATTGTTTTTTTTTTAATCCGTTTTTTATTTAATCTTTACTATATTGAACATTGTTAGTGAACCAATAGATAGTTGAAACTATCCAGTTTGCAAGTAGATGACGTTCATAAGCATTGTGGCTGTTGTTGAATGGCCGCAATAACCTTGCAACTAGATAACCATGATGGAATGTCAACAATGTTTTTTTATGATGTGACTGTTAAGTCGGCTTCTGTGTACAGTATGGCAATTTATGGACGAATTTAAACTTTTACTGTTGGAAAGACCATAAAAAAACATGACGACCACTCTATACTTGAATTATGTTAAAATTGCATTGGTGGTGAGTCTATATTGGGTCGTTTCAATTTTGACAGTGTTTGTCAATAAGACCCTCCTGAGCAACAAAAGTGTAGATGTGGACATTCCATTTTTTATAGTCTGGTTCCAGTGTTTTATCGGAATTTGCATTTGCGCTTTTGTCAAGTTGGCTTCACGGATCACGAACTCCTTCTCCTTCCCAGAGGGTAGCTTCATGCTCAAAGATTCCGTGTTCAAAGTTTTCCCTGTCACGGTTGTTTTCGTATCCATGGTCGTGTTCAATACACTCTGCCTCAAATATGCCGACATATCTTTTTATTATATAGGACGATCGTTGACGACCGTGTTCAACGTCGCTTGTACACGCTTCATTCTCAGGGAGCATGTCTCAGTGCAAGTGCTGGTATGTTGTCTGGTCGTCACGTCTGGTTTCATGATGGGTATTGACCAAGAGAGTATATCTGGGACGTTGTCTGTGGCCGGTACATTGGCCGGCGTACTTGCATCTTTTAGTGTCGCTCTTTATTCGATATGTACAAAAAAGGTACTCCCTTCAATCGGCAATCACATCTGGCTGCTATCGTACTACAACAACATCTATTCATGTTTCATCCTCGCTCCTATCGTGCTCTTTTCTGGCGAGATGTCTGTCATTTTGAACTCGGAGAAAATCGGTGAGATCGCCTTCTGGTGGCTCATGGTCGTCGGAGGAATATGCGGTTTCTTGATTGGCTACGTCACCTCTCTTCAAATCAAAACTACTTCTGCCCTGACTCATACGATCTCTGGGACTGTGAAAGCCTGCGCACAGACCGTTCTTGCGAGTTTCTACTACAGCGAGAGTAGGTCGTTACTCTGGTGGATTTCTAATTTCATAGTACTCATTGGAAGCGCAGCGTATACCATGATCAAGCAAAAGGAGATGAAACTGAAATTCATGGAACAAAAACCATCTCTACTATAACTAGATTATTTTTATTCATCAAGAATTATTGTAATGAACATTTGAACACTTGTATATAATAGAAACATAATGTTTAAGTTTTGTATATAACAAATATAATGTAAATTTTGTTTTAGAAATCTTTAAATTACTTCCCTTTGGTTATAAATCATGGTCATAAATAGCATCTAGATCATAAACTTTGATCAGCCTCTTAATAGAGAATACACTGGAGAAACTAACTAACCATTCAATGCTAGGCAAGATGAATATTAACCAGGGGAGTCTACAAACCTATCCATAGATTAATAAACAGGCTACTATCTACTATAAAAAATTGCTATAGGTAGAAATGCCACTGTAGGAATAGCAACTTGGTTGCTAGACCCACCATAACCTACTACCTATCCTAACCTATCAGTGGTGCGGTGGATGAAGACATTAAAGCTGAAGGCAGACAAGGATTCTAAATACTGCCTGGGCATTGCTGGAGCAATGAGGAACTCCATTGCAGCCCTGGAAATACACTTGAAATAGCCTACCTGTTAAAAATGGAACATGCTTTAGGAAGTCAGGCAGACAAGTTTCTCGGAATGCTTGCAGATGAAACTAAAATTCACATTTCAAATTAAAATATCTGATAGATCAGATGGAGAAAGGGATCACAGTAAAACTGACTGTATCTGGTATATAATGGTTAAACTACCAAGTACAGGTGATGTATATAAGGAAATAAACCAAGGAGTGGAATTCGTTTCTTGAGCAATATGCCATTATCTTTCAGGCAGAGACTGTGGCTATTGAACCCTGTTACCAAGGATATAAGTCTAGATATAACCAACAAGAGAATAGCCATGTTCTGCAACAACCAGGCAGCACTTTTGGGGCAACAACCCATCTCTGGATAGTAAAGTCCAGAGCTGTGGAATTGCATCAAGACCTTGTCAGTCATTAGTGACAAAAAAGTTACCTTTTTTGGATACCAGGGGGCAAGAAGGCAACCTTAAAGTGGGTTCTTGGAAATGATGGCATAGAAAGAAAACAAGCTGACTAACTATCCAAAAAATGGACAACCCTCTCGCCCATGGGCCCAGGACCACAACTAAGTACTCCAAAGTGTGTTCTTAAGTTGGAACTGTAAAAATGGCTTGAGAAAAAAAACTTAAATAATCCAGACGTGAGGCAAGCTAAGAGATTTATAAATCTTTCAAAACGGAAGGCGTAAGAACTCTTCTCTCTCTCAGTAGGTAGGATTTGAGGGGAATTATAGGCTTCTATACCAGCCACTGCCTTCTTAACTATAATCTTAAGAAGATGGTCAATGCTGAGACAAAAATATACCAGCCCTATCAGGAGTAACCATTAACATCAGCACATATCCTTCGTGAATGTAAAGCATTAGCTGATTTACAGTACGCCCTCTTCGGTAGTGCACTAAAGGCAACTACATCATTGGTGGTGAAAGTAAAAAGTCCAAAGCTGTTTGGTATTGCGTCAAGGTTTTTTTTTTTACCCAATGGGTACCAGGAACTGGAGGAGTTCCCCCTGAGCACTGCACCTGCACATCTTATTGTACTTTATCCATTTTTGGGGGCTCGCAACATGCATGTGAATTTGAGCCCCTGGTATGCCGGTGTTCTTCCATCAAAGAAACTCATTTTTTAAGAGGGTTGGGACCAAATGCAGGGTCGCTGAGATCTGATCCCTCCCCAGACCTTCCATTGATGAGTGCCAAAATTTCTATCAATTGCGGCCACCGGCTCCCTTATACGTCAGAAAAAAAGTCCAGAAGCAACAGAGGGGATCAATCCCATGACTGCAGGATCTACTAGCTGAGAGTCTGACACCTTAACCACTTGGCTACCGCGACCCCCAACCAATTTACAAAATTCCAAAAATGTAGATCCATACCATTATGTTTTTTAGTAAGTCAAAAGGTTCATTAAAAGACTGCCAAAGAAACTAACAGCATAACTACTAAACCTAACCTGATTGGACACCGCAGACTCCAGTGGTATATTGACAAAGAGTAGCAGAAACAAGGTAGTGCAGACATTACCAGGAAGAAGACAAAAGAGCATGTTTTTTGTTGGTGTGAAAGCATATGAACTAATTTCCTAGTTTCCCATTCCTGAGGGTAGAAAAGCCAAGAGAGTATACAAACAGGAGGCTTTAACCTTACTGAAAAGCTATAGATAATAATGGGGATTACACAACAGACAAATATTGGTCACTGGGCGTAAAGGTGGCTCCAGACATGCGGGATTCACCAAATGCCGAGCAAAAATTCACCAAATCTTGACTAGTGGGGCTGGGTGTTGTTATTCGCTGAGCAACAATATTCGATGCTCGGCTAATTGTCGATTTCCTTGTCCACTTCAAAATGCACAAATATTCGTGAAGTAGCCAAATTCAAAGCAGCCATTCGGGAATCAACTACAATCAACATTGCTATTTTTTCCCCAGTAATAAACGATTCCTAAATAGTATAGATGTATTAACGAAAGAACATCATAGCAATGTTTCTGTCGATTAAGACTGCATTGACCCAACAAGTCTTGGAGTTCCTAGTTCTGTATCAAGCTGGACCATTAATTTGGAATGCTTCTCTTCCGAATCACAAAAATTGGAACTAGTTTTTCGATGCGTGTAAAAGGGTTGAAAGTAAGATGTGACTGATTCGTGGCCAAGTTTGTTGCCACTAAAAAAAACAGTAACCACAGCTCCAGTATTGACAGTTTCACTGATGTCCATCACGATTGGTAGTAAGTTGATTCTCACGGCAGTTGATAAATACATATTTGCTTTTTCTGCAACAACTAGGATATACAAACCCTGTATATGTGTGTACGTAGGCACGCTATTTGGCGAATGCATCTCGAGTCCCTTAAGGTTATGTAAAGGCCAACTGCTTTTAACCTTAACAATAAATTGGTTCTAATTTACAAGAGCACACTGCTAAGTCAAACTATATGACAAAAAATTGTGATATCTTCATGTTTGAAATAAAATGAAAAATTTTCTGAATTTTTGGCGTATCTTCATAAGGACTCAGCAAAAAATTCAATATGATTACCGCATATCGATATAAACTCCAACTTAATTTTCTGAGTTAAAAAAAAAAGAAAATTGAGAAAAGTTTTATATATTTTATACACAAACTGATTGAGTTATAAACAAGAATTTACAAACTCTTATAAAAATGCTTATATGATATATAATTGCAGCCATAAACACCAATATATTATTAATTATATCGTCTTCTTTTATGACCATCATCTTCATAGTTAGGAGGCTGAGAATGCTTTCTTATGAGACCCTTGGGCCTCCAAGGTTCGACCAGAGGAGGTTGCGACACACCTATAGCCATGACGATTGAGAACTCATCGTCCTTTTCTGTGTACCTGGACAATTTCTCTTAGTAAAACACGTTTACAACGTATACGTTTACGACTCACCTGTGGATGAAATCTTTTTCACACTTTGCCAAAAATTCGACCTGCTCGGATGAGAGTTCAGTCGACATCTTCACTATATGTTTGGTGATGCAACGATGGAATCTGCGACTGGAAATATTTCGACTTTTAAAATTGATATATTTTAAAATTTGTATCAACTGACAATGTTCACTTAGTATATTGCCCAGTCTAAGTGCGTAAAATCCGTTCTTGGAGGCGTACAATCTTTCATCAGTTGCTGTTGCTAACGGTTCAAATACCCTGAAAAAATACAATAAAAAATATAAAGTTGAAATATTATAGTGCTTACTTTAATTATTGTAGAGACAAAATATGTATTAATAAAAAAAAGATGAGCTTACAAAGCTGTAAATTACTGATAAGGATTTTTCAGTTTTACTTTATACTTAATAATAAATAAAACATTTCCACCTCCTGGTTGAAATTCAACAAACCGCTATTTTACACATATTAAGAGAAAAAACTGACCATCCCACTTGCGTCTGGCATTTAGAGCAGAGACAGTATTTCCAAGCGTAACCCGGGAACCAGGAATGTTCGATCTCCCACTTCTGAAAAATCGGTTCATCGATAGAAAAGCCGATGCGGCCACAGGACGTTCAAGACTTACATGGATGGCTGACGGTACGCACGTGCTCCCTGTCGAGATGATAACGTCGAATTTGAGGCCCAAATCGTTTTTCACGGACTGAACCTGAAGGCCGTTAACGCCGAACAGCGTCTGATTGTAGGTCACAGTTGCAGCAGGGCTTTGTATATTCACTAAGGTGCTCGCAGGGGAGACGTTATAGCCGCAGAAACTGCAGAGGACAAAATCTGAAAATACACAGGGTGACATCTTTACTGAGGAACATGACATAGCGAGCTGGCTATGAGAATGACACCCTGTGATACAACTGAAGAGCACTAAGCCAAATTTACCTCCTAGTCTTTGGTTTGAACTTTAAACTAATGACACCAGTGGGTGAAGCCTAAGTTTAACTAATTTATGTAAAAGAATAATAATGCAAAATGAATTTTTAGTTAGACTTTTTAATAAATAGAGAAATTGCATGATTTGTCCTGTAGATCATTTTGTGGCAAGTTGTGTACGCTTAACGCTGTCATGTTCATCCAGGTCCGCCTAGTTTCGATTAATTATAAGTGTTCCAACATGAAGACATAGATGCGTTTAAAAAAATCAATATTTCTGATGTTTTTTATTAGAATTAAAACGACAATCGTTAAATCTTTTGGTTGTTTGTTGAAAAAAATTGGCCGAAAAAACCGGCTTAGAATTGGCAGAACTTTCTCGAGTTCGGTCTAAAATAATAATAATAATAATAAAAATAATAACCGTCCTTTTATGATTTAACTCACCAGTTTCTTTAGCGACAGTCGACCTGATTGCAACAAGTGCTAAAAACGCTGTCAGTAATATCATTAATGTTAAAAAACAGTGAAAATCATAAAAAACGAGATTATAATCATACAAATGTATACAACAATCCTGCGCGTGGTCACATTTGTCACTACTGACTCAGTGTGATAAAGATGCACGTGGCCGTGACGTTACCTTCGGTCCTTTTCTCGTCCTTTCCACCGATTTACTCTTCTGAATCTGAAAAACCAATTCAAAATTAATTTCTGTCGATTTTTGGCCCAATTTACACCATTATGGTCCGCTTAGTTTCGCTGGTTGCACTTGAGGGAGTCTTTCCTGGCGCCACCTTAAGATGTAACTTATTTTCCTTTTGAAAATAAAAATAGACTTTTATCGAGAATTAACCATATTTTTTTGAAATACGCTGTTTAATTAAATTTGTAAATTGTTTTCTGAACTATGATTCATAAAGTGATCAAGTATAACATGAAGAATATGTTAGGATAGTTGGAGATATTACTCTTTGGCTCTAGGGTCTATGGACCTTCTTTAACAAGACCTGTCAGGCACATTCCTTCTTTGCTGACTCGCTTTCATCTTTTCAAGATCTTCCACATCCTGGAACTATCTTAAGATTGCGTATCTTCCTCATGGTTTCGTATTACCCTGGATGTCCCTCATAAGCATCTCTATATAGATGGCCCAACCAGCATAATCTTTTCTGCAACAAACCCTTTTAAATTCTAAGCAACCAACCATTCGATAGTTTCAACCAAAAACTATAGTACAAATTTTATAATTTTGAAATTAACTGAAAATTATTGCAAATTAGGGTGCTGTTATATTTTATAGATGGAGAATGCCTTTCCAATCAAGGAATTCCAGTGAAGGGATATTGTAGAGAGCAGTTTTAAGTCCCTTATTATTTTCCCTTTCTTGTCTGACATTCAAATTTTCACTAACCCTATCAGGTTACCATTATATAGTCATAAAGAATTACATTTTGTACTGCATGTTGATGAACTTGTGTTGCTATCACCTTCTTGGATTTAAATTGAAGAAAAGTTTGAGTTAATAAAAACATTACTTTTTAACTGTCAATACCAACAAAACTGTGGCTATGGAACTCGCTAGATATGGCCACTCTAATGTTTTTGTACATCTTAATTACCTGGGTGTTCGTTTTCTTCTTAAGCAAAATTCTCACAAACCAGTAAAAAATTTTTGTGAACAATGCCATATTCTGTCTTGCATCGCATAAAAATGATAATTGGGTACAAATTGAATGTTGAATAGCTCCATCTCAGGAAGTGTGCATCGGAGATTTGAACACCTACATATAATAATTAAATTAAAAGGGAATAGCTGAATTTTTTTAAACTGTAACATAACTTTAAATTTTCCACCTACCAAAGAGTAAAGTAAAGAAATTCATGTCATACATAATGCTTTAAGGTCGATTTATATCTACCAGCACAGAGCGTGTCCAGCACGTAGCGAATCGACCTTTAATGTACAACTACCAGTTGGGTGTCATGGATGAGGGGACAAACCACTTCACAACATCTCCCGAGGGCTGTAGGCCATGTTAGAATGTGGAAGGGTCATTAATTCATGAATTCCAAAAAGAAAGCTTGTTAATCAGCACATCATGGTCAACCAGATCAAAAGCGTTAGAATTAGAATCTACAGATCAAAGACTTTAGAAATTGCTGACTATATGCACATAGTTATATAATTTTTAACATCTAACCTATCACCACACAACAACATGGATTTTACAAAACTGAATTTAAGAACGTAGGAAAAGTGCCTAGAGCAAGTGTCAATGCAGAATAGCTCTGTCAATATTGAATCTAATGAATAGTTACAATTTTTTAGTATAAGAGAAAGTATTTTATCAGGGCCTTATTTATTTATTTTTTTAAATTTAAAAATTATAATCATAATAAGTATAAATTATATAACCATATGTTGGAAAGTGCATTTTTTCCTATAAACCTAAGCACTTTTCTTGGTGCCTCTTCACACACTTCTTTTGGTGTGAGGATTGCCTTACCAAAGAGGCTGTACTGTCACATTCATGAAGGGTATGAGTCAATGTCTCTAGTTCTTCCTCATAGAGTCAGCATGGTTCGGTCTCTACATTGTTCATCTTCTTTAGGTGGTAGTTAAGAGGGTAGTGGCTGGTGTAGTAGTCTATTAATAATTTTTCTGGAACCCTGTCTGCTAAGAAAGAGGAGTTTCTTTGCCTTCTTTGAGAGATTTATAAATCACTTCGTTTGCCTCATACCTGGTGCTTTTGCCAACTGCTTGAGTTTTTTTCTCAAGTTATTTTTCCAGTTCCAACATAAGCACACACAACAGTGCATCTAGTTATCCTACTTGTTGGCCCCATGGGTGAGAGGGCTACCACCTTTTTGGTTAGTTGGTCAACTTATCCTTCTATACCTTCATGTCCTGGAACCCACCTCAAGGTAATCTTGTTTTCCTAGTGCCTATTTAGGCAATACCAGACAAGTTTGGGGAGTTGAAAATATACCCATTTAGTGCCTTTATTGTCGGATAGATGATGTTGTCTGACAGCCTTTGTAGTGGCTGACTGTCTGAGGGTATGTAGATCTCTGCACCTTTCGTCTTTTTCTTTAACTCCTGTGCACCAGTTGTGTTGCATGAACCTCAACTTGGAAAATAGTTAAGATATAAGGGGCTTTGCTAGGGTATAGTTTGGCCCTTTTAGCACTACACCTTACCCTCTATACCATCTTTGATCCATCTGTGTACCATATTAGGGCCCCTTCCTGTATAAACTTTGGTTAACTAACCAATAACCTGAAGGTGAATCGATGATTCTTGCTTGTTAGAAATATGCTTAATGAAACATGAATAATAATTGTTGTATTTAATTTGTAAAAGTCACAAAATGACAATTCGTAATTCACCAATTGACATAGAGATTTTGGGTAGTTTGACGTCAAACATTAAAATCAGCGAGACTATGCGGACCTTTATGCTAAAATGAACCCTTCAAAGCACGTTTTAAGTCTATAAGTTTTTAGACACAAGTTGTTGTTTTTTTCGGTTGAGAACACACCAATTTAACGTCAAGAATTTTTCGCTGACGTTTTTCAGCAGTCATCCCCTTGCTGATTGCTTTGTTCATCAACTGGATGTAAACAAAAATCAAAATACAACGCTTTTCTGATCAAAAGTTTTTTTATGTTCTCGTCTAAGGAAAGATTGAGGAGGAGGACTGGGAAGAACAAAGTCGACAGATTTGCCTATTTGACCCTGCTCAAGGAAGAGTATGAAAAGACTAATTCCAAGGGTAGATTAAGTGATTAATTTTTATATTTTCAATTAACATTTTAATATCGTTGGTCCCTCATGACTGTCAAGATCCATGTATTGTGCCAATCACTTTTAGGATGATAGTCATGATGTGCTAAAGACCATGCATGACTTAAATGAACTTTAAAATACTCTGATAAGCAAGTTGGGACTACATGCTGGCCACGCTAAACATTGAATTAAAGCCCGTTCCAAGTAGTCACCAACGATCCTAACTGTGTGGTGCCTTTCATTAACATGCATAAAAATAAAACCATCGTGCGTTAGTGTCTTGTAAGGACGACTTATGATAACACATCTTCAATGTATCGCGCATCTGTGGGAATTCTCATTGATGATAAAGTTTGTGCGACTTTCCATAAAAATACATGCCCAAACCATAACACCACCACCTCCGTAATTTCTCCGGAGTGAAAATGTTTCAGGGACGTATCGCTTCCCTTTTACGTCAAAGCCTCAAACAAAGCCTTGACTCATGCATCAAGATTTTAGTCCTTGCTCAGACCAATTGATATCATTTCTTGCGAAATGTGCCTTGTCAGACGTTCTGGGCCAGTGACAGGTCTTCTCGAGCTTCTGATAGTGTTGGCATTTGTGATATCGTGATTTTCAACTTGATCACTTTCAGTGCGTCTAACATGTTGACGTCATTGGTTGATCTCAACAGAAGTAAATGCCATGCTTTCTTGAGTAACATCCAGAATCTTGGTGGCCCCCTTGGAAGACCCTTTGGACAGTTGTTTTGAGAATGTTAAGCACCCTTGCCACATACGCTTGACTTCATCCGTCTTCCAACAATGCTATGATTCTAGCCGAATATGTATCATTGAAAATCTTCTCCAAACAAATTTGAAATTTAAAAAAATCAAATGACCGGAATGTTAGAAAGAAGCTTTATAGAAAAATCAACAAAGAAGAGATTGACTATTCACAGATTTATTTACAAAATCCAATTGTAAACACAAATGGGAGATTTTATCTGTGTTTTATTTACTTCTAATCTTTTAAAATGAACCAAGTATTGTAAGATAATCAATGGAGGATTGTTTAAAAGATCATTAAAAATATTAAGTGGCCACTTTTTTTGCCTCTCAGTGTAGTTGATTTTCTTCTTTCTTTTGTAAATGGGTAAAAAATGACATAATATTGCTTGCAATCACCACGATCTAAAGACTCATAGTCTATAACAACATTCGTGATGAACCGAAGATATCATGACTCGCTTTTGGGTTAAGATGCACTTTAAATTTGCAGATTACATGAATATTAATTTTGCAGGTCTAAATGGTTCAAAATCAATGTTTCCCATAACGATTTCTGGCATTTGCCATGATTTGTGCACTCCCATTTTTTTTTATGAGAGTTATGATGCACTGAAGACCTAACATGGTTATATTTTTTTAAAATTATGCATTTGAAACTTGCAAATTATATAAAAATGAATTTCTTCATTCTAAATTGTTCAAAACCGCATGTTTACCACAATAATTGCTTGCAATCACCAAGATTTAAGGGTTCCATAATCTATAACGACAGATTTCTTGCACCGATGACATCATGACTCACTTTTGGATTAAGCGTGTACTTTAAATTTTCGTATTATATGAAAATTAATTTTATAGGTCTAAATGGTTCAAAATCAATTTTTTCCCATAACGATTTCTGGCATTTGCCAAGATTTGCAGACTCCCAATCTCTTTTATGAGAGTTGTGATGCACTGAAGACCTAACAAGGCCATTTTTTTTATAATTATGCATTTAAAACTTGCAGATAAATGGTATTGCTCTAAATTTTTCAAAATCGCATGTTTATTATAATAATTGCTTGCAATAACCAAGAACTAAAGATTCATAATCGATAACGACAGATCATGCACAGAAAGCATCATGACTCGCTTTTGGATTAAGGGTGCACTTTAAATTTGCAGATGACATGAATATTACTTAAATACATTAATATATAATGAGTAAAGAAGTATCACTTCATTAACGGCATGGCCATTTCATAAGACGCTGAAAATCGAATCCTGATTACACAACAATTGAAAAATGGCAAAAATAGGGAAAATTTGAAAGGTTGTAGGTTGAGATGGGGAGTTGGTTTCCGAGCGAATCGAAGTCACTATAGCTCAAATGGTTAGAGCAGCGATGTATTGAGCCGAAGGTCGTGGGTTCAAATCCCGCTCGTGCCACTAATGTTTTCATCTCAACCAATACCTTACATAAAAAGAATAATTAATGTGATCAATTAGACCACTATACATAAATGGATTAATATTTGTGAATTATGATAGAAAACTTTTCCATATGGTATTTTTTTTTTAAATAAAAATATAAATGCATTACTTATTTACATTCATTTGGATGTTTCAGGAATTTGCATCCATCATTAACAACTATATTTTATAAACATACACAAGTATAACATTGATATTAATTATTTTACAACATTTTATTAAAAAGCTTACCTTAGATTGTATTAAATTTATAATTTATTGTTAACTACATGATATTTTAAAAAATATGACCATCATGTGTCTGTAATTTAAGATTATTTATATATATTATTGTATTGATGACTATAAATTCCTGCAACGTCAAAATATATGTAAATAAGTAATGTATTTACTTTTTTATATATATGTATGTTTTA